ATCTATCTATCTATCTATCTATCTATCTATCTATCTATCTATCTATCTATCTATCTATCTATCTATCTATCTATCTATCTATCTATCTTCCCCGTGCGGGACAATAAAGGCTGTTTCTATTCTATTCTATTCTAATCTCTGTTTGGAGAATTAACGTTTAAGTAAAACAGGACTGACGAGCTAAGTAGATTGCTGTTGTTTAAAAAATCTTCAAAACTCACAGCAGTTCATCATCAATCCATAAAGTAGGGAGGTCATTTTATGTAGCGGAGTAAATTCTGATTTTTGCTGATGTATGACTGCCATAAATTTCAATATTTTCTCATAACAGTAACATTATGTGCAGAAGCACCCACAGCTCCTCCTAGTGAGGGGCCCTAAAATAATGTCTGTCCCCACCAGAGTGGACACCACAAAGTCTGAAAAACCCTAAAGTCTGTTTGAAATTAGGGGTAGTATTATATATATGGGGATTAGATTCTTATATGTGCTCAAAAATTGGGGGTCACATTATGCTCAAGCTCACATTATGCATAAATATTGTACTTTTCTTTAAACCAGTGGTTCCCAAAGTTGGGGTTGGGACCCACAATGGGGTCCTGAAAAGATTTTCTGAAATAATTACATTAGAAAATAACAATTACCAACAATTATTTTGCCTTTTTTGTTACAAAAGAGTAAGGCTATTGTACTTAAAATGACAAAAAAAAATAATACATAATGAATAATGTTACTATGCTCTTATTTTTTTGATGTGAAAACAACGTTTATCATCCAATAACAGTTGGGGGCTCAGGTCTATGCTGCTGGTATTTTGAGGATCAAAAGCTGAAAAGTTTGGGAACCACTGCTTTGAACCGAGAGTGTTCAGGAAGCTACAAAAAGTAAGCTATTGACTAGATGCAATCCTGTTTCAAAGTGCTAAAATACACCTTTAACTTGAAGAACTACAGGTCCTTCTCAAAAAGTTAGCATATTGTGATAAAGTTCATTATTTTCTGTAATGTGCTGATAAACATTAAACTTTCATATATTTTAGATTCACTGCATGCCAACTGAAGTAGTTCAAGCCTTTTATTGTTTTAATATTGATGATTTTGGCAAAAAAGTAAAGAAAAACCAAAAATCCCTATCTCAAAAAATTAGCATATTTCATCCGACCAATAAAAGAAAAGTGTTTTTAATACAAAAAAAGTCAACCTGCAAATAATTATGTTCAGTTATGCACTCAATACTTGGTGGGGAATCCTTTTGCAGAAATGACTGCTTCAATGCAGCGTGGCCTGGAGGCAATCAGCCTGTGGCTCTGCTGATGTGTTATGGAGGCCCAGGATGCTTCGATAGTGGCCTTAAGCTCATCCAGAGTGTTGGGTCTTGTGTCTTAAGCTCATCCAGAGTGTTGGGTCTTGTGTCTTAAGCTCATCCAGAG